GAAGGGGTGGGGCAGATCGATGCTGGGCAGCCAGTGGAACGGCTGGCACCAAGCCTTTCGCCTGTCCAAGTCTGTGTGAAGATGGGCGTGGGGGTGAGAGCAGAGAGACGCGGCTGGGTTGATACGTAGGTGTAACCTAGAGCTGCAGGGGCATCCTTTGGATTTATGGGGCCCTGCCCAGTACTAACCTGGGGCCCATATTCCCAATGGGGAGGGTGGATTTTATAATCTTCAGCAATGCACTCACTTGCTTTCTGCATTTGGGGCTGAAGGCAGTAAGATCAACCATCCCAGACTGACTGCCCACCCCCACCCCCATCCAGCGATAGGGGAGGGGCAGGGGGCAATGACCCCCAACATCAGTTCACAGCCTCCAGGTTGAGCGCCCCTTGCTCAGAAGCCCTTATCTCTTCAGAGGACTCACCCATCTCAACGCAATGGGGCAGCCAGCTCTTCGGCTGACCGATCCCACCACTCTGCTGCCACAAGTGACTGGAGTTTTACTGACGCAGGGTTCGTTAATTCTACCTGCATTTTGTGGACGAGGGAGGGCTCTCTGGAGAGTGGGAACCAGGCCTGGGAGGGAGCCTACGCTGAGGTTCACCGGTCTCAAGTTACCAATGAAACTGATTCCCGGGCAGGGGGTGAGTGTGGATGCTCTTTTGGGGACTGTGTGCGCTGTTGAGGATGGGGTGGGGCTTTGGCCCATTCATACCAAGTATTATAAATGTCTCTCCTCTCTCCAAGGCAGATTAGCAGACAGCAGCGGTTTCCTCCTGAAGGAACTCTGCAAGCTGCTTCAATCCCTTCCACTCCTCAGTGGGGTTTATACTTTCCCAATTCATCCTGGGCTGGATTTTACCAGATTCCCTCACCCTGCTCCTTGCAGGGTTTCTGATGTCCTGTAATAGTTTTGATTTGCTTACATGAGCATAACCTGTAGGCAGAAACTCAGCTAAGAAATTACTCCAGCCTGAGAGATTTAAGCTTGATCGACCCTTTACACAGCTAGGAATTGCACCCCAGCTAGCAATCAGCATTCTTACAAGATCTGGCCACCTACGCACTCACACAGAAATGATAAGACTTTCTGTAAGGATACCAGCTAATAACACATAATCATAGAATACTAGGACTGGAAGGGACCTCGAGAGGTCATCGAGTCCAGTCCCCTGCCCTCATGGCAGGACTCAGTACTGTCTAGACCATCCCTGACAGACATTTATCTAACCTACTCTGAAATATCTCCAGAGACAGGGATTCCACAACATCATGCTACATCCCTTAGACCAGGGCGGGGGAACCTTTCTTGGATCGGGGCCAATGACCCACAGAAAAAAATCAGATGGGGGGCTGCACACAAGTGAAAAGCAAAACAAACCAACCAACCCTCACTGACGTGGCCCATGATTGAGGAGGAGAAAGACTCTCACACACCAGAGCATGGGGGGGGCCTGGGCTGGTAGATTTTGTGTGCTCTAGCTCCATGGTGGGGCAGCCAGGGGGCTGGAATGCCAGTGCGGGTTCCCCAATGCTGGGGGGGAGGAGCCCTGAGCCTCAGGGGCTGGATCCAAGCAAGGTGGGGCCCGCATTCGGCCCCTGGTCCTGGGGTTCCCCACGCCTGCCTTAGACACTAAATATGGGAAAGAAAGCAGATTATACACAGAGTATGAAGAGCCAACTTCGTTAGATTTAAATAGCCTTTATTTTTCAAACATATGTTAGTGGACTTACAGCGACAGTGATACAACAAAACTTTGCTCCTCGGCACACAAAAGAAGAAAGCAGAAGAGGCAAGGAAACCTTGACATACTGGCATTAACAACACTAAGGACAGCTACTGTACCAGTGTGAACCGTACCAGGTTAGAATACAGCTGCAGAGGAAGGCTGGCGGCTACCTCTAGCAACAGCCTACAGAAATAAACTCCCCTCTTGTGTTTTCAATCCGCCCCCGTGCCTATTGTTCCTACCTGCTTACAGAAGCAAATGCGCTCAAAAAGGGGTTGCTATCGACTCCTTTTAGGGACAACCCATGTCCTTGTTCCTCTGGAGTACTGAGTAGGCAGCCCTAGTAGCAGATACTCTGGGGACTACTCCTGCTTTCCGCTATGGAGCTGCATCTGCTCCATGATCCAGCTGGCTACACCCCCTTGAGGCTGGGGAGCAATACTAGCTGCATGGACCATTCCCCACCTTCATGGACTCCAGGGGTGCCACCGGCCACACGCTGCCTGCATCCTGCAATGAGGAGAGTGGGAAACCAGTGCCCTGCATCCCCGCCCCCACTGCACAGGTCAAGCTAGAATTTAAGCCTTCGTTCGGCTCGCAGATGGCTTGTTACAAAACCGAACGAGCAGGTTTTTAACATGTGACAGAACTGGGTTTTCCCTACCTATGGAAACCGCCCCCTGCCTTTGCAACTCCAGCACAGCAGCGTTGTGCTCCCGCAAGGCAACCCAAAAGGGAAAGTGACCAGAGACAGGAAGTGAGACTGACCAGGCCAGCTTCACTGCTCCAGTCGAACAAGCGCTCTCCCACTTTGCGTGGCGTCTCAGAGCCCAGGACCCAGCTGGAGTCTGAATGACCACGCTGCAATCTGACACCCCTGCAAACCTGAGTCAGCTCGGGGGGCCAGCTGTGGCTGCGCCAGAGGTCTCTTATCGCAATGTCGATGTTTCCATGTTAAAAGCATGGCCGGTGAAAGCAGGGGTGGGTCTTAACATCCTTGCAGTTTAAATATTCTAAGCCCGTGGCTTTCAACCTTGCCCGGTTCCCATGGCTGTGTCAGGAGTACGATTCGTCGTGCATACCCCAAGTCACGCCTCCCTTGAAAACTACTTGCTGACAAAACCCGCCAGAAATGTCAAAGCACATTAGTCCTGGAAAACTGCCAACTTTCGCATTTTGCCCGAATGCAATTTTACTTTGCACTGACTTCGCTAGAGCTTTTTGTGTAGCGTGTTGTAAACTTAGGCAAGTATCTAGATGACCTGCAGTACCCCTTCTCCGGCAGACCTCTGAGTGCCCCTGATCTAAGCTCTTCATAACCGAGGCAAGGGCTGTCCTTAAGTACATGGTGGATGTGTCCCGTGTCCCTTTAACAGCACCGTATACACCTCGCAGTCTCTGAAATGGACCCACCATGGCTAAGGTTGTCCTGCTTGTTACCCTAACCCTGTCTATGGGTGCCTTCTTACCTAATGCACATAAGACCAGTGCTTTTTTTATTTAAAAAAAAAAAGGTGCCAGTACTCTAGGGGAAAAGTTGTTGAGTAGAGCCAAAAAAACCCCAAAACAAAACAAAACACCACACCAGAACAGTGGGGCCGGCATTACCCAGCCAGCTGTCAGCCATTTTCATTACAGAGGCGCTGGTCCGCTCCATTCTTTCCAGGTAAGCTCTGACTAGAGGTGCCGGTTCTGCGTACTGGGCAGTACCATCACAAAAAAACCACCGCGTAAGATCATTGTTTGCTCAACCATCAACAATTCTGTCAGTCGTCCCCGAGGAAAAGGGCCAACAGTGGCTGAACGTGAAAATGGCTGGCAGCTCCTTGCTCCACTGCAAGAGATAAGGGCACGTTAAGCGCTAGCTTTCAGTAGGGAAACCTAGATCACGCCTCTGAAGTCAGCAGAACTGCTCCTGCCTGCCAATGGGATAAACAAGGTCAGAATGCAGATGCAGCAGCACAGCTGAAGCCACAGACCACAGGCGCAAATGTTACTAGCGTCCCATTTCACTTCTGCAGCGTTTCAGACATACAATGGCCTCCCAGAATGCCTCACCCAGCCTGCCCCGGGGTTTTTTGGGCAGGCCAGCATGGGTTATAGTACATCACCATCCAGCGCGCCAGAAACGGCCAGGGTAACAGTCTGCTGTGGTATTGCTCCGGGTTACTAGGAGGCAACACGGCCTCTTGCTACCCACAGATCGGGTAGGAGAGATGGGAAGCTACAGCCTGTTTTCCTTCAGCTGCCTCTGGCAATACAGAGTACCGATGGGCACAGAATGGGCATCCTGCCCTCCACCCTTCAGTGCAACCCTCCATCCTGCCAATAGGTGCAAAATGGGCATGCTGCCCCCCACCCTTGCCTGCACCCCAATCTGGAACTGGGCACAGAACAGGCATACGCCCTCCCGCCTTGTCTATACCCACTCTGGAGGGCGGGCACAGAACGGCCATTCCGACAGCCACTCTGCCACGTCCACCACTCAACCTGGCATACAATCA